AGTTAATAAGTATCAGTATCATCAAAATAAATTTTTCTTTAACCTATAAGCCATTTAAATAGAGGTGAACTATCCTCAAGGAGATTGTAAAGCTCAGTGTTGCATTTTTAATGGTATATCAAGGAAGCTATTTATAAATTTAATGTTTATCAAGCGAAATTACATTCCTATAAATTTATTTTATTACCTAAATAATAAATGTTAATTTGAAACGCAGTTGATGTTGAAACACACATATATGTACAAAATAATACAAATATGAAAATATCATTATCTTTATTTTTTATTATTAATGCTATATTTAAACATTAGTTCATTTAATAGAGATGTATAAATAAGAAAAATAAATATACAAGTATTTAAATATGTACATACGTTTATATATATATATATATATATATGTATTTAGAATATAATATATTGTAAATTATGAATTTGACATCATTTTCAAAACAAAATGGTCAATAATTCTGAAATTTATGTATAATATATATATTTGTATATTAGTCTTTAATATCACAGTATTTTTCGTCAAAATACTATTTTGATTTATTTTAGTTTAGAAGATATTTAAAATAGAAATTACAAATAGCACTCTAATTTCAAGGAACGCGTATATAAAGTGCCAGCTTTAGTTGCAAATATCTCAAATCTAGAACGGTCAATAATTTCTAATTGCACGAGGAGTTACATAATATCCCCATATATACATAGTGCGAGTTTGATCGAAGCCTTATCATCTGTTTAAGAGCGTTAAAGTAACATCAAAATGTTGACTCGAGTAAAGCAGTGGGCGAAACAGAGCGGGAAAATGACGCGAAATTTCATTGTTGCCGCTGTATAGCGATCGATTTATTAGCCATTCCGGGCGCGAGCGCGATCGACGTCTCGTTTCGTATTCTTCGGGCCGCGCGCGATTGTATTGCCGGGAAATGAAGGTACTTCTTACTTAGCAACTAGGGCGAATATAAGCGCGGATTACGATAGCATTCGAAGGAACGAGGGCGCGAATCGTTGCTATTCCTCCGCCTTTTTCAGATTCCGTCACCGCGGTATTACGGCGTGACCGGCCTCCTGCTCCACCTCCTTCTTCGCATGAGAATATCGTAACATTTGAAAAGGTTTTAAAATCGTAAGCCGGCGCGATAAAAGTCGGCTGAGGATACTACTCCACGGCATCACGCGGCACTTCTGCCTTTCTATGAAGGGAAAGTGGATAATGGTGTAGGCGGGACGGGAGTTGCATGTTAAGCAGCGTGGCGTTAAAATATAAAGCACTTAACGTGGCACAGTCTCTGCTAATCTGCGATGTAAATAGCGACCTGTTTATAAAAAGAGAAAGAGAGAGAGAAAGAAATAGAGAGGAAAAAAGAAAAGAGCGGTATCTCGTTGCGTCGCGTAACAATTTTATATTGTCGGCGTCATACCTGTACCATTTCCCGGATTGAAACTTTTTACTATTGTGTAATTTTTAGTCTTTCAAAAATGTACATATAAGATTGAAACTATTATAATTAAAGTCGTTATAATCTTACACCATTATAATTAAAGCTACTTTTGCGATTTTCAACCTTATGCATTACAGCTGAAAATCATGTAACGTTCCATTTAGGGAATGGTATATGCATACATGACACTAACCGTATATGAGAAACACGGTGGTGATGCTCGGCCGATCGAAGTTTAACCCTAATTTAACGCTTCATGAGTCAAATTGATCCGAGCGATAAATTAAGATCCTAAAGTTGTTAAATCTTGAATTATTCCATATGAACATAGAATTATTATCTTAAAACGCGCACAATTTTTTACTTCTTATTTTATGTAGAATCAATATCGCTATTTATGCAGAATCAATATCACTATCTTCTCTTATATCTTAAACAGCCATAGTTATGCAAGAAATATTCAATTCACAAAATTCCATGGGGAATTGTTCAATAAAACACAAAATATTGGTTTAATCATCCAAATTTATTTTGTCGCCTTTAAAATAGGTCCCATTTGATGTGATACACTTATGCCAATGAATAATCCAATCATCGAAACACTTCTTATAAACACTTTCCGGTATGGCCCGCAGCTCCTTCTGCGAATTTTGTTTTATGGCTTCAATGAACTCAAAACGTCTTCCACGAAGTGTTAATTTGAGTTTGGGCAACAGGAAAAAATCACACAGGGCCATATCTGGCGAATACGGTACTTGGTCGATGATATTCATTGAGTTTTTGATAAAAAAAATCACGTACAAATGTCGATGTGTGGGATGGCGCATTATCGTGGTGCAAAATCCAAGAATTGTTCTTCCACAAATCCGGCCTTTTCCAGCGAACATTCTCTCTCAAACACCTCATAACGTCCAGATAATATTGTTTGTTGACTGTTTGCCCCTCCGGAAGGAATTCCAAGTGGACGACACCACGATAGTCAAAGAAAACAGTCAACATGAGTTTAATTTTCAGCGACTTCGACGTGGTTTTTTCAATCACTTCTCGGCCTTCTTTGAATGCTTTATACCACTTGTATGCTAGTGTTTTCGATAAAGCTGACTCACTTCTCCAACATTTACAACGACTCAGCACAAGAAATTTCGTTGACAACAAAGTTTGAGGCTAACTTAAGCTTATTAAGTGAAAAATCGGGACAAATGACGTCCCGCTTAGGGTTCTATTGGATCGCCTTTAATGAAAGTCGAAAATCGGGATGATTGATCAGTCTAACCATGACGTAATTAACGGAACAACCGTTCGATCGTTCGCGCTCTCGGTTATTAAATCCATCGCGTTTCCGATATTTATAATTTCCCAAAAATTCGATTATAACCTAAAGCGCGAAAATCCGACGGGGGCGAACGCACTACGTGCACGTTGACGGGTGGGTACAATGCTCTCCGTTTCGACCTTTCCTCCGCTTGTCTTCGAGTCCGAGATCGCGCGGACGTATTCTCGACCTGGCACGATAATAAATCCGCTTTCGAGACTTTAGCGACGTTAGCGCGCGCGCGGTATCGCGATAACGAACAGTCTGTTTGTCCGCCGCATAGTTCCATGTAGTTTGTGACGAACGTGAGGGAAAATTAAAGCCGGCGAAAAATCGCGTCGCGACAGGGAAACTAGGTGGAAACGCAATTTCATTGTCCGCGTGGGCAGTAACCCGGTTAAGACGCCACGCCGCGGCGCTGGCCGATCAAACTATCGCGAATTTCGTTATCTACGAGCTCGCTCGCATTTTCGCTGACGAGACCGCATATGCGCGCGACGTTGTTGCGTGGACAACCCGATAGACGGACGGGTAATTAAAATCCGGCCGGCGAAATCATATGAAACATTGGAATTTGTTCGCACAGCTCTCTCGGAATAACCGGCGTCGCGCACGGCGATGTCGACGTTATCGGGTGGTCGTGCCTCCCGTTGTTGCTCTCCCTTCCCCTTTGTTTCGCTTTTTTTCTATTCTTTTTTTTCAACCTTTCCGATCGTAAACATACATATCCGCTCGTATCGCGATACCGGCTCGTCATTAGTATGTACATCGCGGACGGGCGCGACGCGGGTAACAGTTGCGTAACGTAGCCGCGAAATTTAATCTGCATAATAGCAGACCGGACGGAAATCGCGAGAGGAAACCGCGATTAAAAAACGACGTCCGCCTCAACAGGGGTGGAAATTATGCGGGTATCGAGAGCGCGATTTTTCGGCGCGTTTGAGCGACACGCGCGCACGATACCATCCTAATATCCCGACTCTTCGGTATGCGTCGGCACGCGGCCGTTTGGAAAAATTCGCGTCGCGTCGCGCTTAAGACAACGATCGTGCGATTCCCGGACAGCCGATTTGATTCTCTTTTTATCCTGTTCGTTTTTCGGACGATCGCTGCAAATCGATACTTATGCAATATTCAGCGACGGCTCCTCTCTCTCTCTCTCTCTCTCGAGCAAACAAGATATATATTCCTTGCGCGATGCGAGACGGCGAAAATCGAGTTCGAAGACAATTTTCGGATAAAAGCGACTACCAATCTCGCATTGTGCCGGCGGGCTGTTTGCAGTCCGCCCTGTCGACGGGAGGAGGAGGAACTACCGGCGATAGTTTGCGGCCCGGCTCTGTTGTGCACGTGACTGTACGTGCGCGCGCGTGTGTGAACGCCGGGTTCGCTTCTGCTCGCTCTCTCGCACGCACGCACGCATGCACGTACGTATGTACGTTCGCCTGTATATGGATTGATTGCACTTTACCTGTAAACTGATGTACCAAGATCCTCACGATACCACAGCACAAGATGCACCGAGTCCCCCTCGTGAGTGGTTGATATGTCGCAGGGAAGATAGGTGGGATCTCCGACCAGTGCCACGATGTGTGATATGGGTACTAAACAGAGAGAGACGCGGAACGGTCAGAGTTGGTTTAACAGCGAAAGGCACTTTCGGGGAAATATCGTATTATCGGAGAATATCGCTCTCCGGCTGACACTTCGAGCGTGATGCGGAGAAAAAAGGCTCGCGCGACTCGTCGCGTTATAAAAGTGCATCGGGGGAAATCACGCAATCGGTGTCGCGGCTGTACAATCGATTATCTGAGGCGTCTAATTAGCACGTCCTCGCACGCAATGTTTCGCTTCACGCCGGGAGAGGGGGAGGGGGGATTTCTTCCGAACGGTTCTTTTTTTTACGGAGATAACCGAAAGGGATCCTAATTTTACACACGTATGTAATGAAAACACGTAATTCGAGAAGTCCGGACCGCCGCCGGCACCGCCGACGCGATGCGTCCGCATATTGATAAAAACGCAATTTGCTCGCGCGGAATATAAATGAATTCGTTCTATCAGAATAATCTTTCACTTTGTATGCAATTACGTACTCGTGTTTGTTTCATTTTCCCACCGAGTTTCTCTGTGATTATATTATTCGGTGACGCGTGAACACCTGCGTAATGCGATAAGTATCAGGCTATTATTGCTACTCGTATATAATCACGTTTAATATTAGGATAAACGCCTTTGTTAATTGGCATTAAATTATTTGCCGTTTCGGCGATAACGTGACGTTATATTAACGAAAATAAATTCCATCGATCCGGGGCGCGGCCCCGGCTTTGGTTTAATTGTTTATATTAATATATAATAGTTATTATAATATTTTGATGAAAAAATTGTGCAATCACATGTACCAATTTTGCGAGGGCTCCGTGGTTGTATCACGTTATCCATTTTCGGCTTATTAAATAGAGTAGAAGATTAATATGCCTCTTCGAGACGTATATGTTTTTTATGAACCCTTCTCCTCTCTCTCTCTCTCTCTCTCTCTTCTCCGTTTCTAATCCCACCAATTTCTCCCTATATGTATATTTTTAAAAATATATATTTGTTCCATTAAAAGTTTTCGAATTTTCTTCATCTTCATATTTAATCACTTTTCTCAATTATTATACACTGATTGAAAAATATTTAGTATTTGTAACTAGAATATCATGACTATAAATTATAGTAAAAGAATTATAGTCAAGAGAACTATTTTTCTAGTAATGAATGCGTAAATGTGCACACAGAAAAATACTACATATAAGTAAATATTGCTTGTTTCGAATTTGTTAAATAAGTTTATAAATCCGTAAATATTTTACAAGCATCATTTCATAAGCATTAAATTTATTCAAAGTATATTCTGAATCCTAGTAAAATTAGTCAATCAAGAATATTAATTTAAAACAAAAATCGGGTTGTTTACGTAAATACACCGAATTTAAATTTTCTTCGATGAAGTTTTATAATATTCTTGAAAAGAGAATAAATTCTTTTAAGTACGTCATAATGAGCTTTTCTAAAATTTGTGATGAACATATTTTAAGCCTATTGTCAAGAAAATATTCTTTGTTGAAGATAATGTTTACTTAAAAAAAGAAAGTAAACTGAGTAATCGCTTTTCTTAGCAACAGAATGATATAGGATTTTCCATTAAGAGGATTTCATTTTCAATTATTAGAAAAACAAAGTTCTTTTTTGAAAAAGTGATGATATTTTTATTCCAATGCAAAATACAGTCTGTATGATTAAATGTCGAACATAGTATCCGATAAATCGCCGTCTCGACTTTTTTGACAAATGATCACTTTTTTTAGGAAATTTCGCACGTTTTCGCATAATTGCGGCTCGATTTCGTGAATAACACTTTTGATATTGTCCTTAAACTTTTAAATCGTTTACGGAGCACTGATGTAGACCTTATCCTTCATATAGCTTCAACAAAAAAGAAAATAATCTAGAAGTGTTAAATCGCACGATCTATATGATTGTTTTGTGTGGTACGTTGCGCCATCCTGCTGGAAATAAACATCGTTCCAATCATTCACTTCAGGCCAAAAAAGTCGGTCAGCATCGTACGGTAACGCAGCCCATTCACTAAAACGGCACCAGCTTCGTTTTCACAAAAGACATTGATCTGGCTGGCCGAGCATAGGTTGGGGTCTTTAAATCATTAACTTAACTCAAACGCTCAAATTCCTTGATTGGGTTAACAATTGCTGGACGAGAAGTTGCTTCTTTACGTCCGAAAGCAATACGAACTTTACGAACTGTCTCCGCCAAATTTTCACCATTTTTGTAATGAATTTTTACAATTTCTATACGTTGCTGAAGAATATATCTTTCTACTTTCATTAACCGTATGCTTTTTATTTGCCAGCTGTTAAGGAATAACAGTTCTATTTTGAATAGGTTAAAAATGGCGCGAGATTTAAAATGAAACTTCTTAATGGAAAACCCTGTATTTTCTTGGTGTAAGAGTTACTATAGTATTAGTGATAATAACTTTAAATGCATTTTGCTGCTATTTAAAATACTACTATTTAAAACGAAGAAAAGGATATAGTTGAGGCCAAAAACAACTATTATTTCTATCAATGCACGCCTTCAAAATGTAGGCTCTTATCAACAGACGGATTTTATATTCAAGATCACCTCAAGTTCATCTCCAGATGTTTCATAACCAATGAAGAGCCGTACAATATCTGAAGATAAATTCAAGATGGACTTATAAGATTCGATTCTTAATATGGTCCCGTACACCTGTGATCTTGACGCTGAAATAACATCATACGTCTCTCAGACTTACATTACGAAAAAAAAGTATAAAAATTGCGACTTTCTGCAGTTTTTTGGTTTCTTATGACAATTAAAATATTATTATTATGTAATTATATATTATATATATTATATAATGGGACATTTTTTATCTTTCTGATATTTCTTTGTACATATGGTAAATTTATATGCAAGCAGGTTAAAAATTATCTGATCAAATTATTTATTTATTGCTGTCATATATATATTTTGGTTTCAATACAAATATATCCTAGTCGTGTAATACTTATTTAATAAATTATGCTATTGCACAGAGAAAAAATTTCTTTAAATTTAATAAAATTTTTTTAATTCAAACAAATTTCTTTTTTGAAACAGAACAAATAAACGAATGTTTGATTCAACAAACAGGATTGTTTAGTTTCTCAAATAATAAATATTTTTACGTCCAATGACACATTTCTTTTGTATTTTTATCCAAATATTATAATGATTATCACAATAAATTATTTGAAAGAAATAACACTATGTCAAAAAAAAATATTTAAAAACTTCTCCGCGATTCTATGAAATATTTAATGAAATAACTTTTTTTTATTGAAAACGAAATATTATATATTAAATAATACTGTTTCGGTATCAAACAATATGGTTTATTTTAACGAAACAACATTTTCATTCAAATAAAATAATACCTGATATTAAATTATGTTATTTATATTAAACAAACCCAAATCCAACAAACGTATATTAAATTCAGAGAAACCTTATAGTCTCTATATAGTATGCTGTATTATTTAACAAAAATTTTCCGCGTGTGGACTCAAATTCCTTTCATTGAATAACAGAGGAACAGGAGTGGGACATATCTTGTACAAAACTTGGAAAAGGGAATGAGTGAAAGAAAACACGTGCAAGCCTCGTAGGCCTAACATGTTACTGTCAGAGTTAAACGATCTCACGCAGAGATGAAACAAGGGCCGCAGTCGCTGCATATGTTACAAGTTTCAAACATTTTACATCCGCTTCGTAAAAAATAAAGAACGAAGGATACTTTCCGTTATAATTCCGATAAAACATCTACGAACGTACGAGACTGTGCAAAAGCTTTGATGCATTCGTGCATATATACGCCACAATAAGGTCGTAAAAATTCAGTGCTTGCGAAGATAAAATTCGAGACGTCGCGTCGATGCAACGTATCGCGTGCGCGCAGGTTGTTCTCGTTTCGAAACGTGGCAAACCTTTCGTTCGAAATTAAATGATCGCTATTTATGGCAATATTTCCCCTCCCTCCCCTCTCTCTTTGTCTCCTTTTCCCGTTTCTCTGGGTGTGTACGGATGCAGCACGGCAACGACGACGACGACAGAAAATTCTGAAGTATTCACGAAGATCCTAGCAGACGTCGTCGTGAGCTCGTGCGCCCGCTTTGTCGTTTTGCTACGTCGATTTTCTACGACGACGACAACGACGATGACGACGACGACGGCGTATCGGCCCTTTTCTCCTTCCGTATACCCGCGGTCCATTCGCCGAGATATCCGGTGTCGGAGATATCAGGGGCTGAGTCGCGTCGACGAGTCGTTTTATCCGAGCGCCTTTTACCAAGAATAAAATTTGCGACGGGCTCTAAAGTGCAAAGAGCGTTCGATTGCGCCGTTCCGCAGTGCAACGCTACGCGACGCGGCTTGGCATAAATAACATTTTTTACAATTACATTGTTCGCTCGATAAAAACGCGTCTCATTCTATACATTTACAGACGTCGAGCTGCACGCCGTCACTGCTTATTCTCTAAACGGAAAAATCGTTCATACGCGATAATCGCGCCAAGCCGCGGAAAACTGCAGGAGAGCGAGCGAGCATGCATGTGTATGACATTTATGAGCCCGCGATATATCGCGCGCCGATTGTTTCTGACGGTGTTACCGACTTTATGATAATCGTGCATTCGAAAATACGAAATGAAACGTTCCGGATGTTTTTGCGTACGTCAATATACACGCGAATATGGAAGTAGAAAATATTAGAATAAAATGAAATGCCTTTTCTCCGCCAGAGAGGTCCGCCCGGACCGAGTCGGACTGATGACGGTTCGAAGCTGAAGAAAAACGTGGAACCACGTCGACGAGCAGCTATTATTAATCGAAATTCCCTGCGATGAGAGAAAGGAGCGGACTGGCAGGATATTGGAAGTCCATGAGAGAGAGAGAGAGAAAGAGAGAAAGTATAGAGTGTAGAATATATTTAAATTCTGGGATGAAACCCCTCTTAAATTATCAATGTATAG